ATATATATATATATATATATAAACCAAGCATATGTATAGTTTCTCTACAGAAAATTGCGAAGTTGACATATTAACAGAGAGAGAAACTGTATGACAAGAAGTATCTTTGAGAATCCTTCTCTCATTTCAATCAATACTGATTATTTTTAAATTGACGATTGCTTCCTTACAGAAAAAGAGAGGAATAAAAAAAAAAAAGACTGTCTAACAGTTTTTCTATCAACTAGTTGGCTTCATTCTAGGGATCAAATACTTGATTTAGGTATATATATATCGGTGATATATATATATATATATATATATATATGGTATATATAGTGTGTGTGTGTATATAAAATACAATTTGAAGATATGAAACGTGTGAGAAAAAGATAGAAAGTTTCAAGAACAGAACTGGCATTGTAAAAGCCAGATACTTTGATACTCGACCATATTTATTTAATTTACACAAATTATATAGAATAATAGAAAGCAAAAGAGATAGAGAGCGATAGAGTTATGCATTATTATTACATAGTGCTAGTGAACTGTCGCGCATCAGATCTATAATATTGAGATGTATCATTATCAGAAGCAAATACACAATTATTTCTATAAATTACAATTCCTTTCTTAAAACATTGTGTATCTTTCCTTCCCACATCTCCTATCTTCATATTTTATTATGGTGTGTGTTTGTGTGTATATATGTATGTATACTGACAATATAGTTAGAAGCGCACAAGTGGCGATACATTCTCGAGCATATTCACGTAATGCTGCAATGTTCGCTATATGATACATATAATAAATGACATTACTGCAGTGAGATGCCACTTGCATTATAAGAGAAGTCTTAGAATCATTCCAAGGCGGATAGAATCGACATCGGTTAGCCCTATTTAAAACTAAACTACATCTTTTCTTCCGCATATACAAGAACTATAATCTAAAAATGGCAGCAAATCGTACAGTACGAACGGACAACACGCACGCGCGAGCTTTTAGAATCTATGAAAATAGATAAACAAGATGGAAGTAAATCAACGACTTTATGCATCATCTTAAATTACAAATTAAAACTTTAACAATTCATTATAATCTGGTTTAATTAAAATTAAATGATTTAATTTGTTTAAGGATTTTATATTCTTCTCTCTATTTCATTAAATACAAATCATCAGAAGAAAGCAAACTGTGATACGATATAATAAATCATGACTAAAGCTTCATACTTTTTTCCAGATACATTCTTCAATAGCGAAGTCAATTCTGCTACGTTAATCTCACGTCAATATTATTTGAAATTTGCGTGAGATACGTCTTATCGTCGATTTGTACAAAGTAATCTTTTGCGGCCTGAAACTTGATTATTTCCCGGTAGATGTAAGACAAGTTTGTACATTCGCGACAATTCGTTCAATCTCGTCGCCGCCAGGTAAATTTTGCCCGCTGATTCGTCGCTTCCGTTGCCGGAATGGAAGTAACCGGATGAGAGTACGGACACGCTGGTTTCGTGCAAAACGGATGGTACTTGCACTGTTGGGCTGGATGAGAAAACATACAGCCCAATTTCGTGCAAGATAAACCAAACTTGCACTTAGGATGTTTGTAGGCGCACTTGTCTCCAAACTTGCATGCTGGAAAGGCACTGCGCAAGAAAAATTAGTCATAAAAATTTATATATTGCATAGCTTTTAGGCATATATATTTGTAGAAATAAAATATTGTTTATAATTTGAGATAAACGAGACTAAATATTTCAATGAGATATAATCCTAAATATTGGATATATATATATATAAATTGGACATCTAAAGTTGCACTATCAAATAATGGCATACTGCCAAATATATATAAGTATATAAATAATGAAAATATGTAGAAAATTACGTTACCTGCACATAACAGGAGGATGAAGGTATGCACATTTGTTTCCTAACGTACAATTTGGCCAATACCTACAGTTCTCTCTAGATTTATCTGGTACAGTCATGCCTGTGTTTTCTGCTTTCTTATCCGTAACTGAAAAACAAAAACAATACACCAAAATAGAGATATATATATTATGCTTAAGACAAGTGCCAGAAAAGATTTTAATTCATACGTTTAGCGACTAGCGTTGGCAATAATGACGCGGTAGATTTCAATCGCGTGGGACTCGGTGAATGAGATCTGTTGTATATTATTGGACTCAATTTTCTCCGTTTTCGCGGCGCTTCGTCAGCCTTATCCATGTTCTCCGTATTGCAGTTTTCATTGTTCTCCTCTCCGCTCGCCTCTTTCGAGGAAAGGAGAAGACTGACGTCTTCCGTATCATCCTCCATTCCATCCGTCGTTATTCTAAATGCACCTGCTTCCAACTCGATTGGCGTCGATGCCAGTGCCGATGTTGTTGTCGTCGCCGCGTATGTCTCACTATGTGTCGTCAACAACGCAAGCTCGTCGTCCTCGTTCACCTGCGAGCATGAGGAGGAACATCGGGCGTCTAGAATGCGCGCGAGGATTAAAATTCAAAGGGACAGCATTTTACAGACGGAAAAAATTACCTCCATCTCTAGTCGCTCTTCATCATCCTCAGAGCCCATCTTCTCTTTCATGAGATTGTTGTTATATCCATTCAAAGTGACCAAGAACTTCTGATTGTCGTCACTCCTTTGGAACAACGACATGACAACTCCCATATGCTCGTCCGTTACCGCTTGAGGTACGTCTATGGAATATACGCCATAATGTGAACGAATCTCCATAATAAAAATATCCGGAATAGCGAGATGAGAGTTAATCTTTGTATCACGAAGAGATTCTCATTGGAATTTTTATTTAAGCGGTTTTGATTACGTTTCTGAAATATTTATGGAATACTCGTATATGAAGTGTTATGTTAATGGAAGATTAATAAAAATAAAGATTCCAATGAAACTGATGGTAGTTGGACACGGAAAGGTTCCATAACTCTTTCAAATTCTGATACAAAAACTCTATTTTCGCAGAAGTAAAACTTACAAGGTTCGACGTCTTCCGTATCCAGATTATCTACCGTGTTTAATTCAACTTGAATCTTTTCCATGACCAGTCTCTTATTAGAATTAAAATGTACCGACAAGTTTTGACTTACATCACGAGCTGGAGTAGGCTTAAGACGCTTTAAGACCGGCTTCTTGTCCTAAAAAAAAAATTGAACCTTTGATGAAAACAAAACTTTTTCTTCTTTTCGACATTTGAAATTCTTTGAGAAAAGCATCATAGATATTAAAAACTTTGATAATGAAAATGGTGTAGATATTAAGAGACTTCCTCCGTCGCAATATATTTATTCAGTTACAAAGATTTAACGCTTAAAATTTAAATAATTTACACATACATCATGCATTTACAATTAATTAACAAAACTCACCAACAGGGACGGTTCAGGATTTTTTTGCTTGACGACGGATTGATTCGCTTCCGCGACCGCTCTCAATAGAAGTGACTGCGTAGCACGTTTCTGCGTTGGTTGCAGCGGCTTCAAAGGTCTCGGCGTGACAATCACTTTGCTTGGTAGCCTCGTGTCTTCAATGTTCACGTCATCCACATCGCTGGACGTCCCTCTTTCCATCTTATCCGACTGTGATTTCGCGCTCCCGTAACCGGAATGTTGAGTTGTATTGAACGATACTTCGTTCGTGGTTCTTGAGCGTTTTCTCTCGATCTTTGCGACAGCGGAGGATGCAGATCTGTTCACAGCGACTATGCGCGATTTCACAGGACCAGTCATCGACTGATCGTCATTGTCTAATTCGTCATCCTCCTCCTGCTCTTCCTCTTCGGCGCCAAGATTCATAGGCATCATGGATTCGTCGGCCTCACTGTCGCGAGACTGCCTTCTTTTATGCACAGGCCTGAAATTGTTCTTCACCGGACCTAATCTATCCTTGATATTCTTAGTATTATTACCGATCTGCTCTAAACTCCTCGAGTTGTTCCGATAATCCGTCGCCTCTTGCGATTTTACAGACTGCTTTTGCGTTTTATTATTGATATTTGCAATGCCTAGACGATCTTTAACGGTACAGGTGGACTTTCTGGCAGATATGTCCGTTTTCGAACTGGGATTCAGGATTCTCTCTCTAGATTCTGCCACGTTTTTATTCAGTCTCTCGTTCTTGTTGCTCTCTATTCGACTCCTTACGTCATTGAGCCTGTTTACCTGTTCATGATGACGCGAGGACTCGCCGTCGCGATTCCGTCTCGAATTTCGATCGTCCGTCTCAAAGTTTCTATTCTTGCTGCGGTCGTTGTCGTAACGATGCGACTTTTCGAATCGCTTCTCCAACGGACGAGAGCGACCGTTGCCTTCCTTCTCCCTGTAAACTTCGAACTTCTTCCGCGGTGATACTATACCCAGTCGATTCTTCACCGACACAACCGACGTGATCTTTGGTTTGTTCACGCAGGACTTGAGCTTCCTCGAAACCGTGTCCGGTGATGACGATGTGGCCGCGTCTTCCTTTTCCTCCTCTTCGGAAGGCTTCGACCGCTTTACCTCGTTATCTCTCTTCTCGACGCTGTCGTGACGACTACTTGACGTCTCTAGTGATCTCTTTAAGCATTTATTACCCGGCGCCACCTCACTCGGTCTCTGATCACGATGCGCATCCGCGGTCTTCGCGGCAGAATTTTCCGACGCAGCGCTTTCTTTCATCGTGTTTTCGTCACGCGCGAGACTCTGCTGCGGTCTATTCGAGGAAGCAGATTCCTGACAAGATTCGCTATTATGCGTCAACGCCTCGTCTGTTTTATTTTTGTTGCTTTGTACACTCTTTGCGTTTTTTTCCGCGCTTTTGCTGTAACTCTGTTCCGAGTTTTGATTAGATACAAAAGGCTTTATTGTTTGTTGCTTTTGCACAGGATGTTGTTTATCATTCTTCGCATTTTTATCCAAAGACTTGTCGACAGCCGATTGCTCTGTAGTCTGATCTTCCAGAAACGAAGTTGCTGATAACTTTCGTTTTTTTCTCTCCTCCTCCTGCTTTACCACTACTGTCGGTACAAACTCACGAGATGTTTTCTTCTTTGCTATGGTGACTTTCTGCAGTTTCTTCAGCACTTGATCGTGCAACCAGTCTACAAATATGGTTGTGCAGTCTTCTAGGAATAGATTTAAATCATCGTGCATCTGTTGACGGGATTTTTTATTAACCACCATCACCAATATATAGTCTGGTAGTTCCTCATCGTAGCGCACACTTAGTTCGTTTAATTTGGCGCGAATAGCACTCTGAAAAGATAAGATAAATTTAACAAAAATAAAAAATTATGGAATACAACTATGCATTTCTCATATGGTGTAATATTAAAATATAATTCGATATTTCAATAAATAATGCAATTCATTACAGATACTATCTTGAACATATAATCAACTCTTAAAAAAATAGTTTTTTTCTCTCTTTCCTCGGAGAAGATAAATTCTCAATCATCTTTGCACTTTCAGCTTTTTCATACTACGTAAATAAATAAATAAATTTTGGAGTATTTAGATTGAATAAATCTAATGAAAGGCAAGAATCGCTTTGTATCACTTCGAACTTTTACGTCCTTGTAAAAAATTTAGTATTAACTGTATAATTACGAGGATATATCTCTATGCAACAGGACAAGATATTCCTATCTGTTTAAATCATGCAAATTTCACACTGTGCATGCGAGTCCCCGAACACTCACTCGAAGTTGATTCGTGACCTCGATACCACGAGTATCCATGTTTACGGGATATGAATGCTTCCACCAGGATTCAAATGGGACTCAGCGTTGTCAAGTCAGCGATCGGCCGAGTCGATAAACCGATATAAACGCGGATCAGTGTCTATCATAGAACGAAAACATTTTCCGCCATAACTGGACGAAATGTCCTCGCCACTCGCCAGTCCCCAGTCCCCACTTCCACTTTTCACGGCATAAAATAGATCTAACCTAGATGCGCGAACAGGGGCATTGCAAATTGCAATGAGTGAAGAATCACAGGAGAGAGCATTTGGTGCTAGCAAGCGGACGGAAGTCCGCGAGCCGCTAGTGTGATTCGGGCTTAAGGCAACAAGTGGCTGTACGCTGTACACGGTCCTGAAAAACGTCGAGAAAAATGGACGCTCAAGATGGCTGAGATGACGTACTACCTTTCGCGATAAATCTACCCCCACCACCGCTATACTCTCTCCTGTGATTCTTTAGTGCCGGTCTACAATAGGTGATTTAAGCCCTAAGCCTTAAGAAATTGACCAATCACAATCAAGTATGAGGAGAATACTCGACTGTGATTAGTCAATTTCTTAAGGCTTAGGGCTTAAATAATTTATTGTAGACCGGCACTTACTGGGTGCTTTCCATTTAGTGACTCAAGTCGACACAAGTATCATTCTATCTTCTTTCAATGCCAGTGAACAACAAAGATAGAATGATGCTTGTGTCGACTTGAGTCACTAAATGAAAAGCACCCACTCATTGGTGAACACAGTGAGTTCTGCCCTTACAACCAGAGATGCCAATTCTGAGACTCTGCCACAGCCACAGCGTGTGGAGGGGATAACTCACACAAGCGTGAACCGTGTACATGTAATGCGCAGAGCGTTCTGCGCATTACACGTACACGGTTCACGCTTGTGTGAGTATGTCAAGGTCAACATCGTTGGGTCCGTTTTTATAAAGTTTTATTATCATGTCCAATACTTTAAACTGTAAAGTGATATATCTCGAAAACTATTGATCGGAAATTTTTTTTATTATTTTTCCCATGTTGCTCGTCAAAAATGTCTTTAGAAACCATCTTTCAAATAGGGAGCCGTAATTATCGTAATCACCCCAAATTTTGTTAGTATGAAGATATTTGACAAGTTTTTTCACTTAAATTTGTAATTAAAGGATATTAATATAATTAAAAATATTGAAAGGTAATATTTTTAAAAAACGCATCTTCCAACATTTAAAAAAAAAATCGTCAAGATTATTAGGATAATATTGAAAATAAGATTTCACAAATAGTTTATTTTTATCTAAATTCACATTCGTTTTTTCGGAAAATATTGGGATTTTAAAAGTTGTGTACATACATGAAATAGTATTATATCAGAATATATATATTTGTTTCTTTTATGTAAAATAGTTTCAGATCTGTATCATTCGTGCTCTCGTAAAATTGTGTCTTCAAAAATGATGTATAGCAATGATGTATACTGTATAGCAATGATGTGTAGCATTGCAATATGTTTTGTGTATTTATACAGTTTAATAGTGATGATTCCTCAACAGTTGCTGTCGCAATTGAAAAAGTGATAAACTATAATTGTAAATATTTAAATTCCATTTAATGTTAAATGCAGCAGGCAAATGTTATTATATTCTTATAATTATAATTAATTCAAGTATTAATTATAAATCTTCTCATCTTGAGTTAATTCATTCATTATTGAATACATACAATAAAAAATTCTTACATTTTTCGATCTTTATGAGAAAAGTAAAAATCGATATAAGACGGTCGCATTTAGCGTTAAGAACGATATAATTACAGAATTCGAAAGAATGTGCATATATGTGACTGATAAACGATTTCTAAACTTATTTTTCACTGATATTTCGCTTGTTTAAACTGATAAATCCCCGAGGTAGGAAAAACTAAAAATAAGTCGAGATATGTAAAAGATTTTCTCGATAAATGTACTTCAGTACGATATAAACATTGCATAAAAATAGAGTGTAGTAACAATGAATCAAAATACCTTTTAGCAACTATATACAAATATATATCTTTTTCTCTAAAGTTATATATGATTGGTGTTACATATATATTTTACACCTATTTTTAGAGCATTGATAAACTGTGTGCATTTCATTTGCAGTCATAACTTCTCATACCCCTTTAGAAAATTATGGTGCCTTATAAAATATTACTACATGTCTTTATATTTGATATTGCTACGAAATATACTGTTTACAGCAATTTTTGTAAATGCAACTGTTATATGTTACTAAGATTATTTTAGATGCAGATTGCTCTCAGTTAAAACAAGCGTTAGACACATAAATCGTCATCTTTGCAGCATATTGTAAACTTAACGCATTTACGATTATCTCTGTAATTCTGCAATTTTCCTTCAAAAATAATAAAATTCTAAAAGTAAAATCCTATTAAAAAAAAAAAAAAGAAAAAAGGATGTTTTAGAAACTATTTCTATTGACGATATTCTAAAAAAATCTACTGAAGAATCCCTTCTTCTTAGTGGCTCTCAGAAAGATTTGATCAATATCTTTGAAGACTTTTTCGGCGGATTGGGCAGCATTAATGTAATAATGAATTCCTTGCAGAGCATAATAATCGACGAGTGGTGAAGTTTGCGTGTGATATGTCGTCAATCGTTTTTTCAGAGCATCTTCATTGTCATCTGATCTCTTGATCAAAGGTTCCCCAGTGATCTATCAAAAGAGATTATGCATCAAGTTCTAATTGAATTTTTAATTGAATTTATGTAATTACATAACATTTTTATGTACACATAATTGTCAATAAAGATAAATGCTATTATATATTATCTGCAGTAAAGACATATTACATAAGTCATATAAAAGTTGGTGTGTCACTGTGAGTTTATGTTTCAACTACACTTTGCAAATACAATGTACTGTATTGTGGATAATTGTATAAAATTCTCTTTTTCTCCAGATTATATTACATGGTACGTTTGATATTTTTTACTACAATTATTTTATTACTTACATCATCTTTCATTGGAGCTTTAGGAGGAGCAAGTGTCTCATGATAAGATCTACCGCTAGCTGGATGTATCAATCTGCCTGTAATTCTGCTGATCAATAATTTGTCATCAATTCCAAACTCAATGACAGTGTCAAGCTTTGTTTTCCTATTACTGAGCATTTCATCAAGCTGTATAAAAAAGATTTATGACATACAGAGATTCAAATCTTTCGTTATAAGATGTACAAAACTCTGATCATCTAACTAATGATCATCTAACTTACTTTTTCTGCTTGAGGTACACTTCTAGGGAATCCATCCAACAAGAAGCCACGCTTGCACTCAGGTTTGTCCAGATTGCTTTCAATCATGCTAACTACCAAGTCATCGCTAACCAATTTACCCTCATCCATTATCTTTTTGATTTGAGTTCCCAGAGTAGAACCGGAACTGACTTCAGCCCTTAACATATCACCCGTGGACAGATGACATACGCAGTATCTATCTTTAAATAACAACGCCTGAAACAGATGTGTTCAACTAAATTTTTGCAGATTTAAGCATTCTAGCATAATTAATATAAAAAGTATAATATGCAATTAAAATATTTCATTGAGTCGAAACACTTTTAATCGCATAATATTAAAAGATAAATCTATCTTTTATTCATTTATACAGTTTGATTATATATTAAAAATACGAGAAGAGGGAATTCACTAATTTAATCATTTTGTCATTTAAAATTATCTTATTTTATTCAAATAAAATTAATTTATGTTTGAAAGGTATTATAGGTCAAAGAGGATAGCTAGGTCGATTTTAAGAATGACGGTCAAGTATATACGTGCGATCAAAAAATACCTGAGTGCCCTTGCCGCTACCAGGTGGTCCCAATAGAACAGCATTAATTCCGCTCGACGGTGTCTCGAGCTTCGGGACTGCATCCGTTTGCGGCGGCATGTTTTCTTAACGAGTCGAGAAGGGAAAATTCGTCGATCTCCGCGGAAAATGATTCGTTTCTCAATTGCTCCCAAGGTCGCATAACACCCGTGTCACCACGGATAATAATCGACGTGACACTGGAACATCCTTGCGTTGCGATGCAAAGCGCGCGAATGTATGCGTGCATCAGCGTCAGCAGTCGGTGAAAATTTGATCTTTGACCGAACTGCGATTTGCCTCATCTGTCGACCGTCTCGAGAAACAATTTAATTCGTGTCGATTTGAACTAGCGCGCGGGAAATATCACCCGCATTATACAGAGTGTTCCAGAATTAGAGGGACAAACTTCAGAGTATCGATTCTGTAATTTAAGTGCGGGCGAAAATTACAAAAGCGAGCGATTTTACTAGGTTTGAACCAATAAAATTATAAATTTTCTAGTAAATTCGCTCATTTTTGTCATTTTCACCCTCACTTAAATTAATAGAATCGATACTCTGATGGTTATAAAGGACACCAAAACAAAAGCTAGTAAACCCGTGTCCGTAAATGAGCCATTTTGGCACTAGAAGAATCAAAGATTAACAAGGAAATTTCGCAAACCCGGAAATTCCGATTTTAATGAAATTTTACACACATGTAGGGGAGGGGGAGGGTAAATATATTAGACAAATATAGAAATTTCCGGCTGCGGCCCAAAAACGATTCTAAGGGATGAAATCATCCCTCATATGTAGAGCAGCTTTTTGCTTTTCTCGATATATCTCGACAACTAGTCGAGAAATTAAAAAATATTTTATACAAAAGTTTCGTGGTAAAAACACCTCTATTTACCTACATTAACAAAATTTTGAAAAAATAATTTTTTTTCAAAGATTTTTGCCCTTGTTGGTATTTGATTCTCTAGTGCTAAAACGGCTCATTTGCAGACACGGGTTTATTGACAAAATTAGCTTGTTTTAGTGTCCTTTCTATAACCACCTGAAGTTTGTCGATCTAATTCTGAGACAACTTGTATATGTGCATACATACATACATACATACATACATAGAATCTGTTCTTTATAGCTGAACTGACTCCTTCCAATATGGAAAGAAAAAGATAAACTCTGAACTAGAGCAGCCAGTTCAGTTATAAAAAATAGATCCATAAATACAGATGTACTTATATAATTTCATACATACACATATATATAATTACAGTAAAATTTTACACAATTTACACATATGTTTCAAAATAAACATTGACACTTTAAGGATTAATAAAGGATAATAATACAATATAATAATAAAGTTGATTAGAAGAATATTTAAATAGACTGACTTTCAAAACTATAAGGTTTACAGAAAGCCTTATGATAAAATGCTGTAAAAAATAGGGAAAATAAAAAATATATACAGGATGATAATAATCAGGCTGATAATCGCCCGTCGTGTGCAGGTAGAGTAGATAAAACCGAGGAGAAAAATCCTTTATCATTTTGCAATTTTCGTAATAATTATTGAGAAATTAATTTAAAAAGATCAACCAATTCGCGCGAGTATAAGCGCGCAGCGAAAAGAGACAACCCAAAAGTTTGTGGTTACTAGGCGCGCCACGAAGTTTTGGGAGGAGCGTTCTACAACGATTACGTACGAGCAGTGCGTACATAACGCTGGATTCTCGTCTTACAACCATATATCAATGGGGCCGTCCTTTCCCGCCGCGCGCTAATATACTCGCGCGAATTGGCCGATCTTTCTTAATTAATTTCTCAATAATTATTATAAAAATCGCAAAATGATACAGGACTTTTCTTTTCAGTTTGACCCAATCTACCTCTACCTTTCGTTTGGTCACTTACTTGTCGAATACCCTGTATAATATACATATAATGATTTTACATTACAATCATCAATCGAGATAATATAAAAATTGATTTATTAAATAATAAAGTAAATTTTTCAATATGGTAAAAATGTTTATATAAAAATTTCCAAAAAAAAAAAACAAAGTATTCATTCACTAATAAAGTGAATGAATAAAAAATCAGATAAGAAGTTTAATAAAAACGTAAGGTGTGTGAATAATTATTAAAATACAATCACATAATCACTGCTAACTATATGCTTATCTTAAAATATCCGTTTTTCAAACAAAAAGCGGGTTTGTTAATCGCGATAAGAACAAGAACTGATTTTTTGCTGCTCCGTTGGAATTCTCGCGTTTAATGTTCCCGTTTAATATTGCAGGTCTCTCATACAAGATTTGATAACTGATTATACGCAAGATTCGGACAAATTAACAAAAATTCTTGTACGCGCTCGAATATACATTGCACATACGAATTGCATTCCATTCCCTTCATGAAGATGGTAAGATGATATATATGTAACAATTGAAAATGATCATTTCTCGCTATATGATACTCGCATCACGCCTGTCTTTTCGTGCAAATGTAGGTATGCACACGAAAAACAATCAAAACGCATAATTCTAATGCATTTGTTCATTTTATATGTAACGATAATATAAAGAATTTATAATACACGTTTAAAGCAAAATCGTTTAACAACATGCTTAACTTAAGCTTGAGCAATTTTTTTGCCTCTTATATAAAAATATTATTTTTGGGATACGAGTAGAATTTCTTTCTTATACAGGGTGTCCCAAAATTAGACCGACAAACTTTAGGTGGTTATAAAGAACACCAAAACAAGCCAATTTTGTCAATAAACCCGTGTCCGCAAATGAGCCGTTTTGGCACTAGAGAATCAAAGATCAACAAAGGTAAAAAATCTTTGAAAAAAAATTTTTTTTTTTTGAATTTTATTAGTGTAGTTAAATAGAGGTGTTTTTACCATAAAACTTTTGTATAAAACCTTTTTTTGATACCTCGAATAATTTTCGAGATATATCAAGAAAAGCAAAAAAATCGCTTTACATATGAGGGGTGATTTCATCTCTTAAAATTTTTTAATTTTATTAGTGTAGTTAAATAGAGGTGTTTTTACCATAAAACTTTTGTATAAAACCTTTTTTTGATACCTCGAATAATTTTCGAGATATATCAAGAAAAGCAAAAAAATCGCTTTACATATGAGGGGTGATTTCATCTCTTAAAATCGTTTTTGAGCAGCAACTGGAAATTTCTGAATTCATCTATAAAAATGTGTCTAAAAAGTTTCATCAAAATCAGAATTTTCGGATTCGCGAGGTTCCCTTGTTAATCTTTGATTCTCTAGTACTCTAGTGCCAAAACGGCTCATTTACGGACACAGGTTTATTGACAAAATTAGCTTGTTGATGTCTTTTATAATCAGCTGAAGGTTGTCGGTCTAATTCTGGGATACCCTGTATATGAAGAATAAAATCATCTACAATTTATAATTACAAATTGTACTGAAAGAAAAGCTCAAAGAAGGATTTTATTGTTCGGGTGTAACAAAGCATTATATGTTAATTAAATAAAGAAAAAGCGTAGCGTCAACGATTCTTATTTATGAGAAATGATCGCGCTAATACATATGTAATGCAAATAGAAGAGATTTCGGCAGCCTCTTTATCACGTGTTATATGCAAAAATAGACTTTACTATCACTCTCTTGCCGACGAGGAACGACGAAAGGAACCATCCGTAAAGAGATTGCGGTTAAACGTCGAATTCCTCTCTCACATGAGTTTTTCTTTTTTAAAAGATTGCACAGCAAAAGTGCGTTTATATTTACGAGATCTCTATTAATATTATTATAAATCCATACCTACGGGGTGAGAGAGATTCACACTCGCAGAAACCTGCTTCTATTTGCTCCGTTAATCACGGAGGGAAGTATCGCTTCGGGAATTATATATTTATCATGAATCATCATTATCTCTGAATGAACGCGTTGTCATGTATCCTTCAACAGCGGGTATAATTATTGTCTATATATATATGTGTGTATGTGTATCTACAAAAAACGCGCCCTGCATATTTATAAATATCACTTAGACTTGGTCGCTTAATCGCGATTTTACACGGATGAGGGATTGCTCGATCGAAGACACGAACGACAAAGTGATCATGTAACTATTTGCGAAAATCTTCGTAAAGTGTATGATGTGAGTAGAGTTTCGAGAGTTATTAATATTTTTTCTCTCTTTTTTTGCATAAAGTCTACTATGTTGTAAATTAAATCGATCGTGGAAAGGCCAACGTTTCGCATTCACGTTTCCGACTGTTCGAGTTTGCACATCTTTAATATTATAATCGCAACATAAAGAGATGCATCGAGAAAACGATCTTTTAAACTAATATTGCTCATGCATTTGATTGAAATCTTACAGTTAATATAAGGACGGCATACAAATGGATTAATACACATACCCAGTGATAACAAATTATTACCAAATTGGCATCAAATTCGCTTAAAACTTGGTAACAAATCCAGTGCCATCTGTGTCCGCATTAAGCTTGTGTTTTGGTAACAAAGCTTGCTGACATAACCTGACAGCAAATTGACGTGCAGGCTTTATATTCACTCATGACAAGAATTTGAATACGGGTATAGATAATGAATAACGCGCCGCATAGCAATAAGCGACTGAACTATTTTATAATACTTTGTAATAAGCTGCAGATTCTGTTCGGTTTTTGCTGTCAATTTGCCATTAGATTGCGCACTCCAGATCATGCTCAGTTTTTGCTGACAATCTGATATCAGTCATGTCAGCAAGCTTTGCTCGGTTTCTGCCGCCAATTTGCTGTCTAGTTATGTTAGCAAGCTTTGCTTGGTTCTTGCCGGCAAACTGCCAGCTTAATCGGTAATAACAACTCTGGTACCAAACTTGCAGCCTTTTTGCTGACAATAATTTGTAGCAAGCACTTGGCAATATCTGTTAGAACAGATGTGGCTGACTGAGTAGGTAAATTTAAATAATTTGATTTATAAAATTAAAGATTTTTTTGGACAGGAATGTTATCGTTCAACTGTTTTCCTAATTTTTAAGTGACAGTTACCATCGTTACCATCACTTCGCTATCTCAATTGGTAGTAATCTAAAATCTGAGTGTGACTGCGTTCTTACTTTTAACATTAAAATTTCGGAATAAACGGAATAAATAATGAAATTTAAACGAATTTGCAATAACTGCAGCTAACCCGCTGCAGAGAATGGGTCTGTTTTTTACAGCTGAATTGGCTGCACTAGTTCAGAGTTTATCTTTTTCTCTCCACATTGGAAGGAGAAAGATAAGCTCTGAACTAGTGCAACAGTATGTCATAGAGAGAATAAATATTGCAATGTTTTAAAAACTTTGACGTTACATTGATATGATGATAATGTTATGTATAATGTGCATAGGTTTTAAAGAAGTGTAGTGTAAAAAAGTTGCGACACAATACAAAGATATTAACACTTATACATAATTGAAATATGTATAAACGCAGCATCCCGGTAAGAAACGAATTCATGTATAATTGTTTCTAACTCGTTTATAATTATAAAATTGCCAGGATTATACAGCTTTCAATGCGTTATATTGCAGTTACTGTATGCTGTAAATCAATCTGGACCAATCTGGACCAATCTGGTATCGATTGCTGCAACTTATACATACATATATAGGATGTCCTAGAACTATCGTACTTCCTCTTAATGGTAAATTCCTTAGAACATTTCAAGACGAAAATCTTAATACAAAAATGTCGAGGCTATATAACGAATCATTTACGAATGACAGGGCTGAGATTTTGCGCGCTCAGGCACGGAGAAATAGTAAACACCTTTATGGTAACATTGGGTGCGTTGAGGAGACAATCACTGCACAACCGTTGAGCATCGTCTTATCAACACTCGATGTTGATTTGTTGGTTCTAGAAGTAAGAACCAATCACGTTCGATTGTTACCCAACGGTTGTGTCTCCTGAACACACCCATTGATCAACCATTGATCAACCACTTTGACAGCTGAAGTTGAAACATGTCGCAAATTTTTACTTGAATCATTTTTGAAATGCCTTTAGTTCTTGCATCCATTATTCGTAAAAAGAATGTACTAATGCAATGCATAGAGAAGCGGCAAAACATATAATAACAATGCTATTGTAAATTTATACGATAATCATAATATCATAAAAAAGGCGCTCCATTCATAGAAGCACTTTTTTCACTTGTCATTTTGCCGTGTCTAAGCGCGCAAAATCTCAACCCTGCCATTCGTAAAATATAATCGCTTCCCGTTTAAAAACTATTATAGCCTCGACATTTTTGTATTAAGATTTTCGTGCTTTGTTTGGTTTTTGCCGGCAATCTGCCAGCTTAATCGGTAACAACAACTCTTGTACCAAATTTGTAGTCTTTTTGCTGACAATAATTTGTAGCAAGCACTTGGCAATATCTATTAGAACAGACGTGGCTGACTGGGTAGATATATTACAACTCCAAGAGCGACTAAAAGTCTATGCACATTATACAAAACATCATGTTATCGTTCAACTGTTTTCCTAATTTTTAAGTGACAGTTACCATCACCGAGGCCACTTCGCTATCTCAATTGGTAGTAATCTAAAATCTGAGTGTGACTGCGTTCTTACTTTTAACATTAAAATTTCGGAATAAATCGTTTTCGGAATGAAATTTAAACGAATTTGCAATAACTGCAGCTAACCCGCTGCAGAGAATGGGTCTGTTTTTTACAGCTGAATTGGCTGCACTAGTTCAGAGTTTATCTTTTTCTCTCCACATTGGAAGGAGAAAGATAAGCTCTGAACTAGTGCAACAGTATGTCATAGAGAGAATAAATATTGCAATGTTTTAAAAACTTTGACGTTACATTGATATGATGATAATGTTATGTATAATGTGCATAGGTTTTAAAGAAGTGTAAAAAGTAAAAGTTGCGACACAATACAAAGATATTAACACTTATACATAATTGAAATATGTATAAACGCAGCATCCCGGTAAGAAACGAATTCATGTATAATTGTTTCTAACTCGTTTATAATTATAAAATTGCCAGGATTATACAGCTTTCAATGCGTTATATTGCAGTTACTGTATGCTGTAAATCAATCTGGACCAATCTGGACCAATCTGGTATCGATTGCTGCAACTTATACATACATATATAGGATGTCCTAGAACTATCGTACTTCCTCTTAATGGTAAATTCCTTAGAACATTTCAAGACGAAAATCTTAATACAAAAATGTCGAGGCTATATAACGAATCATTTACGAATGACAGGGCTGAGATTTTGCGCGCTCAGGCACGGAGAAATAGTAAACACCTTTATGGTAACATTGGGTGCGTTGAGGAGACAATCACTGCACAACCGTTGAGCATCGTCTTATCAACACTCGATGTTGATTTGTTGGTTCTAGAAGTAAGAACCAATCACGTTCGATTGTTACCCAACGGTTGTGTCTCCTGAACACACCCATTGATCAACCATTGATCAACCACTTTGACAGCTGAAGTTGAAACATGTCGCAAATTTTTACTTGAATCATTTTTGAAATGCCTTTAGTTCTTGCATCCATTATTCGTAAAAAGAATGTACTAATGCAATGCATAGAGAAGCGGCAAAACATATAATAACAATGCTATTGTAAATTTATACGATAATCATAATATCATAAAAAAGGCGCTCCATTCATAGAAGCACTTTTTTCACTTGTCATTTTGCCGTGTCTAAGCGCGCAAAATCTCAACCCTGCCATTCGTAAAATATAATCGCTTCCCGTTTAAAAACTATTATAGCCTCGACATTTTTGTATTAAGATTTTCGTTTTGAAATGTTTTAAGGAATCTGCCATTAAGAAGAAGTACGATAGTTTTAGGACACCCTGTATATATATGCAATATTAAATAATTCTCTATTTTTTACAAATATAACTATCTCTTTAATAAATATCTAATAAATATCATGTAGAACCGTGCTTTCTCTATAATAAATAAAATAATACTCGAATTATAAATATCAAAAACAAGACTCATGTAGGCTATATCAAAAGTTGCGACGGAATCATGTCCTTGTGTGTATATCATATAAGAGCGGACATAATTATAACGCATATACGACGTTGGCGAAAAAAATCATAATAATCGAGATAACCCCTTAAAAATTATGTTATCCATTTAAATGTATCGGTACAAATGATGCTATCATACATTGTTATATATCATAGTAGAGACTTATGAAATTGGTGGGTTATGAAATCCGCCTAGAGAAAACTGAGATAGCTTATTATATGTAGTTCTAAAATATTAGGTGTGTTAAGATTTATCAGTATCAGATATTGCGTGTTACTGTTGGTGTTAACCGTTTAGCCCTCTAGAAAATTTGTGTACACGTTGTATATAATTCTTTAACCCCCTTTCTCCCCTTCTCTCTCTCTCTCTCTCTCTTATCCTCCTATCATCGCATTATGCTTTCAAAACGAATGGTTTACATCATAGTCATATTCATAATATCTCAAGCTTATTTGGTCGCAACGACTCGTCAACAATATACATATGTCTAACTTCCTAAGAATGGCGATATATTAATTAAACATTTGTTTTTTTTCTGCATATGTTTACAATTATTAATCTGCAGAAGCATCAATCTCTAACGTTTGTATCACACATTTCTCGTCTTTGAAGGCTCGAGGGGATCTATATATTTTCGATAGTCTTTGCAAATATTTTAAATTCAACCCCGGGAAGCGAAAACACTTCAAACCTCGCAAACAGAACATCTAAAATACTCTTAAAAGTTCGCGAAACTGCACTAAATTGTACTATTTCCGATTGTGATGACAATGCATCTAGGATAATCTACTCTACTCTAAGCCAATGTATAATGATACACGAGTGATGCGATCGACGACAATATGTCTAGCGATCGATTCGTTAGACGCGACATCGCAAGGTATACACCAAGCAAGGATAAGATTGTTTCTCGAATCGTCAATAGAACCTTATGGACGAAAGTATGTCGCGCGTCTTTTACAATGATCTTACGATATTAAACTTTGGAATAATCGCGTACATAGCCGATATTTGATTACCCGGGTCATAAGTAAAAACTACGTTTCATTCATAGATTAGGTACTTCTTCACACAGATTCTTAACAAAGTAACCAAACGATGATACGTTTAACATTAGCAGCGTTCTTCCTCTTGTTGATTATAGCGTGTGCATTATTGTTGGAGAAATTATCGTGATCGATACAAGACCACATCTGTGCCTCCATTGTGCGCGCGTGCACATAATATCCCGGCTTAATTCAATGCTACATTTTGTACAATTCAGTAAACGTCATTCTGTGCTCGCGAACGGCTTCATTTAATTTGACGTCACAACGCGAACGAAGTTCTCGACTGTTTGCAATCATCATAGAATGACGAAACTTCTCTTTCCGTTCCATCTCTTCTTCTCGGTATGCATTAGTATAAAATTCTCGTAAACGTAAAAATCTTATCACCCGTTTAACTTAACGTTCTTAGTATCGCAAATACAAAGGCATTATACATCAAGCATTGTATACTTGTTTTATACAAGAAAAATGTAAAATGATGCAACTCATCATTATGTTTGAATGTTATAAAAGATTTCCAAAAACCGACTTCGTCCGCCATTTAAAAAATGCTCTTACCGTTTTCAACAGTAAATGTTTCTCAATACAACAATACAACTGGCAATCTCAAGCTTGAGATAAGCAAAGCTCTAACACACTAGCAAGCTCTCTAGTGTGTTAGTCGCCTGTTTCATATAGCCTCTTGACTGTTGACCGACTGCGAACTGCGTGACGTTTTGCGACTAATCGGTTCCAGGTACGCCGCGGGCGCCCAGCCTTCCATGCTAGTGCCGATCAGTTTGACAAACCACCAGCCAGCACAGCCGACTTTTAGAAGTTCCAAGGTATCACCCTCGCGCATCGTGACTTCCGACTGTCCCACCGCGCAATAATCTGCCAACGCCACGTATCTTCCACCCTATAAATAAATATGTCGTTATTGTAAAATATGTAAAATTGCACATATCATAACCGATTCAGAGGCTAAAAATATAAGACACTTAATAAAGATAACATTATTGTCAGAGAGAAGAATGGATGTGCATTGAATTTATAAATTTGCAAAATTAATTAAAAGTAATAAAAACGGCAAAAGTAAAATTACAGATTTTTCAAGTTTCTCTGTTGTCCTCTAAAATTTGCTATTTTAGGCCTACTATTTATTCTCAGCACTTGAATTCGAGAACGTAAAAAAAATTCACCGGTGCCGGTCCTGGATTATCGCCAAAAGCGTCTTCCTCATCCGTATTGCTATTTTCCGAACTCCATGCCACATCCTCCTCCGTGGATTGCGAAACATCGGTTATGTGCGAGATAACGCTGTTACCGTCGACGGATAGTGTTCGCAAAGATCCTGATATACTGCTTTGAGCTTCCCACGAGATTGTTTGTCGCAACGGCCTTTCGAAATAAAAGAAGTGATGAAATATATTGAAAAGATTGAAATGCGCGCTAAGAATTAATAATCATTAATTCTTAACAGCGATTACGTACTTATGATTGGATTTTCCAAGAGCCGAATTCTGTTTTCCTTTGAGTTCGGCTAACTGAGACATCAGAACACCTTTGATCTGACGTACCCAGGATTGCTTAATATCGATACTGGGCGCTTGTATCGTGTGTACCTCAGCCCTGCCCTGCAACCATATCTCGAACCGTCTAGCATCTCCTTTCACCGACTCTGTCAAACCAATCTGAGACATCTGCCACATATTACGTAAGATCACATGAATTATAAAACTTAAGTTGAGAAAAAAGTTATTTTTACAAATGTGAATATTGAAGTATACCTTCAAATATCTTTTAAAATGGTATGTAGCCTTGTTGTGAGCTTGAGGCTTGCTATGCTTACAAAATATCAAAGCCTTCTCGTATAAGAAGATATGCCGTTGAGATGGTTTCAGTCGCAATAGTCGCTCCCGTTTACTGCTGCTCCAAACACTAAACGAGCCTTGCAACAACAATTCACCCTGTGCACTCAGATCACCCTGTAAGTAAAGAGAAAAAGACAAAAGTAATATAATAAGAGATAAGATATAATGGTTAATGATAGAAAGAAAAATGAAGATGAACATATATGTACTTACTCCAAAACCCGTTATTGCAGTTTGATGCATGCTGTCATTGACGCACTTTAACACAACTAACATGCAATCAAGCGCCTCTTGCAATTCGGTGCAGTATGAAGGTTCATCGCTGTACTTTAATAAATCCTTTAACAATAATTGGTATTTGGTAATCCGTTGAACGGGCTTGAGAAGATAGGCAGCAAGCGGCAACTTGTGACCAAGTTTCTGCTGACAAGCTGCGAGAAACTGCGGTTCGGTCTGTATCTGTTCGCGCAATTTCTCAGATCGCGGAATATTTTGACAATAATAACTATACAATCTAAAGAATATTTCGCGCTAAAAAAATGTACATTAAATTAGTGTTTTCGATATATGATATAATATTCGAAAGATATATAAATGCTTACTCTTTGAACAAAGCACAAAGCGACCAGCTCAGTATTCGAAATGCAGTTCTCCAAGTCTTTTAGAAAAGTTTCACCATGAAAAATATAAATATCCTCTAAATTGCCAAACAATACGTCCGCTTTGCCCACCAGTGCAGCTGGTATCAAATGAGTCATTGTCTCGTTTGCCATTTCCATCTTGTAACCTTTAATGATCGAACCAAGTTCAGTGACGTAGATTCGCTCAGTTTCCACAAGTTCCGCTAAAACGTGGCCGCGTTTCAAACGTAAAGCTTCGATGTCTCGAGGCTCGCTTTCCGGTGATGAGGATTCTCCCTCTATAGGACTCATCTCCATCTTAAATAGTTATTTCGTTTAGAAAATTTATTCATTTATATTTACATTAAAGTAGTTAAAACATTTTCAAATACATTATTTCATTATTTTCAAATGTTTTCAAACACCGCTTATTATATAAGATTACCTTTGGCATGGTGTTGGCTTTTTTGAGAATTCTGCTGGGCTTTACAGTTTGAGGCAGTGATTGCAAGGGTTTGACTGGTTCTGGAGTGACGGTTTGTACTGGTCTAGCTGGTTTGATCAATTGCTGCTTTAGTGCCATTATTCTCTTATCGCACATCAAGGATACATCTTCTATCCTTTGTAGAACCTACGAGTCATATTTCGGATCGAGACGTGCGTTGATGAAATCAAAATATGTTTCAGAAATACGTACTTGCGTAATGAGCGCTTTAGTTTCTGGCATCACGGAGTCTTGAAAGATAATCGCTTCCCGTTTAAAAACTATTATAGCCTCGACATTTTTGTATTAAGATTTTCGTTTTGAAATGTTTTAAGGAATCTGCCATTAAGAAGAAGTACGATAGTTTTAGGACACCCTGTATATATATGCAATATTAAATAATTCTCTATTTTTTACAAATATAACTATCTCTTTAATAAATATCTAATAAATATCATGTAGAACCGTGCTTTCTCTATAATAAATAAAATAATACTCGAATTATAAATATCAAAAACAAGACTCATGTAGGCTATATCAAAAGTTGCGACGGAATCATGTCCTTGTGTGTATATCATATAAGAGCGGACATAATTATAACGCATATACGACGTTGGCGAAAAAAATCATAATAATCGAGATAACCCCTTAAAAATTATGTTATCCATTTAAATGTATCGGTACAAATGATGCTATCATACATTGTTATATATCATAGTAGAGACTTATGAAATTGGTGGGTTATGAAATCCGCCTAGAGAGAACTGAGATAGCTTATTATATGTAGTTCTAAAATATTAGGTGTGTTAAGATTTATCAGTATCAGATATTGCGTGTTACTGTTGGTGTTAACCGTTTAGCCCTCTAGAAAATTTGTGTACACGTTGTATATAATTCTTTAACCCCCTTTCTCCCCTTCTCTCTCTCTCTCTCTCTCTTATCCTCCTATCATCGCATTATGCTTTCAAAACGAATGGTTTACATCATAGTCATATTCATAATATCTCAAGCTTATTTGGTCGCAACGACTCGTCAACAATATACATATGTCTAACTTCCTAAGAATGGCGATATATTAATTAAACATTTGTTTTTTTTCTGCATATGTTTACAATTATTAATCTGCAGAAGCATCAATCTCTAACGTTTGTATCACACATTTCTCGTCTTTGAAGGCTCGAGGGGATCTATATATTTTCGATAGTCTTTGCAAATATTTTAAATTCAACCCCGGGAAGCGAAAACACTTCAAACCTCGCAAACAGAACATCTAAAATACTCTTAAAAGTTCGCGAAACTGCACTAAATTGTACTATTTCCGATTGTGATGACAATGCATCTAGGATAATCTACTCTACTCTAAGCCAATGTATAATGATACACGAGTGATGCGATCGACGACAATATGTCTAGCGATCGATTCGTTAGACGCGACATCGCAAGGTATACACCAAGCAAGGATAAGATTGTTTCTCGAATCGTCAATAGAACCTTATGGACGAAAGTATGTCGCGCGTCTTTTACAATGATCTTACGATATTAAACTTTGGAATAATCGCGTACATAGCCGATATTTGATTACCCGGGTCATAAGTAAAAACTACGTTTCATTCATAGATTAGGTACTTCTTCACACAGATTCTTAACAAAGTAACCAAACGATGATACGTTTAACATTAGCAGCGTTCTTCCTCTTGTTGATTATAGCGTGTGCATTATTGTTGGAGAAATTATCGTGATCGATACAAGACCACATCTGTGCCTCCATTGTGCGCGCGTGCACATAATATCCCGGCTTAATTCAATGCTACATTTTGTACAATTCAGTAAACGTCATTCTGTGCTCGCGAACGGCTTCATTTAATTTGACGTCACAACGCGAACGAAGTTCTCGACTGTTTGCAATCATCATAGAATGACGAAACTTCTCTTTCCGTTCCATCTCTTCTTCTCGGTATGCATTAGTATAAAATTCTCGTAAACGTAAAAATCTTATCACCCGTTTAACTTAACGTTCTTAGTATCGCAAATACAAAGGCATTATACATCAAGCATTGTATACTTGTTTTATACAAGAAAAATGTAAAATGATGCAACTCATCATTATGTTTGAATGTTATAAAAGATTTCCAAAAACCGACTTCGTCCGCCATTTAAAAAATGCTCTTACCGTTTTCAACAGTAAATGTTTCTCAATACAACAATACAACTGGCAATCTCAAGCTTGAGATAAGCAAAGCTCTAACACACTAGCAAGCTCTCTAGTGTGTTAGTCGCCTGTTTCATATAGCCTCTTGACTGTTGACCGACTGCGAACTGCGTGACGTTTTGCGACTAATCGGTTCCAGGTACGCCGCGGGCGCCCAGCCTTCCATGCTAGTGCCGATCAGTTTGACAAACCACCAGCCAGCACAGCCGACTTTTAGAAGTTCCAAGGTATCACCCTCGCGCATCGTGACTTCCGACTGTCCCACCGCGCAATAATCTGCCAACGCCACGTATCTTCCACCCTATAAATAAATATGTCGTTATTGTAAAATATGTAAAATTGCACATATCATAACCGATTCAGAGGCTAAAAATATAAGACACTTAATAAAGATAACATTATTGTCAGAGAGAAGAATGGATGTGCATTGAATTTATAAATTTGCAAAATTAATTAAAAGTAATAAAAACGGCAAAAGTAAAATTACAGATTTTTCAAGTTTCTCTGTTGTCCTCTAAAATTTGCTATTTTAGGCCTACTATTTATTCTCAGCACTTGAATTCGAGAACGTAAAAAAAATTCACCGGTGCCGGTCCTGGATTATCGCCAAAAGCGTCTTCCTCATCCGTATTGCTATTTTCCGAACTCCATGCCACATCCTCCTCCGTGGATTGCGAAACATCGGTTATGTGCGAGATAACGCTGTTACCGTCGACGGATAGTGTTCGCAAAGATCCTGATATACTGCTTTGAGCTTCCCACGAGATTGTTTGTCGCAACGGCCTTTCGAAATAAAAGAAGTGATGAAATATATTGAAAAGATTGAAATGCGCGCTAAGAATTAATAATCATTAATTCTTAACAGCGATTACGTACTTATGATTGGATTTTCCAAGAGCCGAATTCTGTTTTCCTTTGAGTTCGGCTAACTGAGACATCAGAACACCTTTGATCTGACGTACCCAGGATTGCTTAATATCGATACTGGGCGCTTGTATCGTGTGTACCTCAGCCCTGCCCTGCAACCATATCTCGAACCGTCTAGCATCTCCTTTCACCGACTCTGTCAAACCAATCTGAGACATCTGCCACATATTACGTAAGATCACATGAATTATAAAACTTAAGTTGAGAAAAAAGTTATTTTTACAAATGTGAATATTGAAGTATACCTTCAAATATCTTTTAAAATGGTATGTAGCCTTGTTGTGAGCTTGAGGCTTGCTATGCTTACAAAATATCAAAGCCTTCTCGTATAAGAAGATATGCCGTTGAGATGGTTTCAGTCGCAATAGTCGCTCCCGTTTACTGCTGCTCCAAACACTAAACGAGCCTTGCAACAACAATTCACCCTGTGCACTCAGATCACCCTGTAAGTAAAGAGAAAAAGACAAAAGTAATATAATAAGAGATAAGATATAATGGTTAATGATAGAAAGAAAAATGAAGATGAACATATATGTACTTACTCCAAAACCCGTTATTGCAGTTTGATGCATGCTGTCATTGACGCACTTTAACACAACTAACATGCAATCAAGCGCCTCTTGCAATTCGGTGCAGTATGAAGGTTCATCGCTGTACTTTAATAAATCCTTTAACAATAATTGGTATTTGGTAATCCGTTGAACGGGCTTGAGAAGATAGGCAGCAAGCGGCAACTTGTGACCAAGTTTCTGCTGACAAGCTGCGAGAAACTGCGGTTCGGTCTGTATCTGTTCGCGCAATTTCTCAGATCGCGGAATATTTTGACAATAATAACTATACAATCTAAAGAATATTTCGCGCTAAAAAAATGTACATTAAATTAGTGTTTTCGATATATGATATAATATTCGAAAGATATATAAATGCTTACTCTTTGAACAAAGCACAAAGCGACCAGCTCAGTATTCGAAATGCAGTTCTCCAAGTCTTTTAGAAAAGTTTCACCATGAAAAATATAAATATCCTCTAAATTGCCAAACAATACGTCCGCTTTGCCCACCAGTGCAGCTGGTATCAAATGAGTCATTGTCTCGTTTGCCATTTCCATCTTGTAACCTTTAATGATCGAACCAAGTTCAGTGACGTAGATTCGCTCAGTTTCCACAAGTTCCGCTAAAACGTGGCCGCGTTTCAAACGTAAAGCTTCGATGTCTCGAGGCTCGCTTTCCGGTGATGAGGATTCTCCCTCTATAGGACTCATCTCCATCTTAAATAGTTATTTTGTTTAGAAAATTTATTCATTTATATTTACATTAAAGTAGTTAAAACATTTTCAAATACATTATTTCATTATTTTCAAATGTTTTCAAACACCGCTTATTATATAAGATTACCTTTGGCATGGTGTTGGCTTTTTTGAGAATTCTGCTGGGCTTTACAGTTTGAGGCAGTGATTGCAAGGGTTTGACTGGTTCTGGAGTGACGGTTTGTACTGGTCTAGCTGGTTTGATCAATTGCTGCTTTAGTGCCATTATTCTCTTATCGCACATCAAGGATACATCTTCTATCCTTTGTAGAACCTACGAGTCATATTTCGGATCGAGACGTGCGTTGATGAAATCAAAATATGTTTCAGAAATACGTACTTGCGTAATGAGCGCTTTAGTTTCTGGCATCACGGAGTCTTGAAAGATACATCGGGGATGATGGAACTCCTCCGCGGCTTCGATCAGCTGCTGCAGCTCTTGAAGCGCTTGATCCGGCGGCGTGATGCTGTTCTGCGATGCCAACAATTCTATCCCTTGTGTGCACCAAGTATTGGCCTGGTCGATAATTAATAAAATTTTAACAAATTAACTTTCCAACTGGCGAAAGAAGGATAATAAATTTAAGAGATGTAACTCGGACGTACCTTATCTATACGTTCCATAAGCTCCCGGCATTTGGTCAACATGTGCAATCGTCTCTCCAGTCTCTGACTAAGGATGGTGCAGATTCTCTGCAGCTCTACGCATTTAGGTTCCACGACATCTGTCGGACATTGATGCCTGCCGGATAATAGCTGTTGACCAGCTGATATCACCTCTTCCGCGCGATCTATGTCTCCCTATAAACATACATAATTATACTTATGCACGATAACGCGATTAAATGTCGGTATATAAATAAATGAAAATGCTACAAACAATCATGGCAGTTTTGTTCTTATAGTCTTATTAAATTGTCTAGAAAGAAAACCTCGTAAAGAAAATACTATTATGCGTGCAATGCAGAGAGAGTGAAAAACCATAATGATAATCATTCGCAAAAATTCACCATGCCATTATCGGACATGAATACAATCTCCACTGGTCTTCTGATGACATATGCGTGCATTTCAACTAAAAGAAATAAGGAAAAAAGAAAAATAGCATATTAGCTTAAATAGTATAAACAATGTATAAAAGAGAATTTTAATTCATATAGAGCATCTACGAAAAACTTGTCAAAACGTAACGTTTTCTATTTGCCTCAAGACACGGTAAATATAAGACTGAGATATGTACATGTAAATGCTAAAATAATATCTCAAAATTACTGTGTGTTATAATCGTAAATTCTATTAGAATATATATACATGTATTTTGTTAAGTGGACTGCTTACCAAGACCCAAATCCACATGGTATGCAACAAATAGGACTATCGACAAAATGACGAAAGCGGTGCAAAATAACATTTGTGCATGATGTGCATTATATATGTTACTGCTCGTAATCATGTTCAAACCAGAATTTATATATTGCATATATATAAATATAGTGGAATATTTAAATGGCGATTATATATATATTTTTGATATGATCAATGATAGCATGTTTACTTTGTTACAAAGTTTATATGATAGGAAGAAAAACAATCTCCTGATGTGAATAAAGTTATACTGGTTTGAATAATGTATTCTGGTGCTTCAAGTGCAATCTGTACATTTTCAAACTCAAAATTTATAATATTGTCAAGTTGCTTTCACTAAATGATTATATAAAAGATTATTTTTGTATGTATAAAAGATTATTTTTGTATGGGTCTATAATTTTACGCTTTAGTGATATAAATGACTCTTCTCTGCATAGAATAGTATCATAATTAATAATTTCCATCTTTGTAACTTTACATGTTATTTGAAAATTACTCCCAACTCGACTTTTGTTGGATATTTTATTATCAGAAAAATAATTATGTATGTTAGGTACGATGATAAATTGTTATATTTTGTCAAATTTACTAATTAAAATGCGCCACATACTCTGCATATTCGTTGAAATGCCGATGTGTCGTGCAGCAGCTGCTCAACTCGCGCTTGCGTCTCGCCGACCTCTGTCATTTCTTCCACCGTCTTTAGATGCTGATCTAACGTCGTTTGTAATTCTCGGAAATCTTGCTCGAATTGCCTCAGAGCCAAACAATGTCTCAAACGTGAGCTATGATGTGACCAAAACAAGTCAAAGGTTCGTTCGGTTTCTTCCAACTGGACAAGTAACCTAAAGTTGAATTTAAGCGTTAAAAATTACATAAAGCAGATGCATAATAAATTTCTTATTTCAATATTTTACATTAATGAAGCAAATCGTGAAATGAATGATTTCTAACAGATGTAATAAGATTAATCATTTCGATATTATATTATCAATTATATAATTCCTTCTTGCGTTACCTTTCTACTGCTGCAACATTTCCCAATCTATCAGCTGTTCCTTTTCCAGTTAGCTGTCGTACGCTATCCAAAAGAGCTTCTCCATGCCTGGCAGCGCTAAGTATCTCTTCTTTTAATTCGTTATACTCAGCTTGTTGCTGTGACAATAATGTGGTCGTAGCAATAGTATTGTTAGGAAATTCCACTTCAGCCAAACGTCGCGTGAAGGAATCTAACGCGAGAGACACGTCCTGTGTCATTGATGAAAACTTTTCCAGACTCTGCATAGAGAGAGCGTGTAAAACAAAAAACACTTATTAATAATACAGATAGAATAGAAAAGTTAATTTCATACATATTATTTAATTTGCTTGGTTATTAATTTGTTTGATGTATTTACAATTCTATTCTGTATCCAAGTGTGATGACAATACGGTAAATTGCCGCCAAGCGGCTCAGTGAGCTGATCTTTCTCTATAAACTCGTGAAGTTCAGCAATGTTAGCCAAGAAAATAACTCTGAACTTGAAATCCTCTCGGAACAGCTTATTCGATACTTCCGAAATGGCTTTCTGTAAAAATCCGGCAGGTCGCAAAACATATACTACATGCACTAAACCAGGGAAAAATGCCTGAAATAAAAATAAAGAATTTATGATAACAACTATTATATATTATTATTAAGTAACACAGATTTATGAAATGATAACATGACTGTAATTATTATGTAATGTGTTGAATTCACTTACAGAAATTTTCAGAAGCACCGTTTTAACCGAGTTCCACTTATCATTCCTTCGATCAATTATCAAATGAAATCCAAGATCAGCTTCTTGCAATCTAAATATCAATAATATAATTTAATACATAAATATAATTTAATAACAAAATTTATATTCTATAATATTGCATAAAGAGGTATATGTTAATTGATAATTAAATTGTGATAGCTATATACTTACGTTGGCACAGAAGTAAGGTATAACATGAGACGTTGATAGTCCAAGTCTGTCAAATTATGAAAATTGCCATTATCTGGAAATGTGATTATAGGACATCCCTCTCGCGTTTTTCCTCCTGTAAAAGATGTATAAAAGAAACCATTTCAATAGATTTATATTTTATTAAAAATAAATTCAAATGTGTAACTTGTAGGACTAAAGATTTACCTGCAATAATAGCATATTGTGCCTGGAGAAGATCTGCAACATCTCGAACTGCCAGATCTCCATTTTCTATCTCGCCTGTCATACTCTCTACATCTTCTGTAATGCAAAATATTGTTTTTTATCATTATATATATCAATATTTCTTAAAATATATTTTTTTCACTATATTGCTTATAAAGTATATTGTCTAAAAAAAGTTATGACATCTTATTAATATTAAAATTAAATAAATGATATATATCTTAATATTAAAATTATTTAGACACTTGCACAATTAGACATTAATAAAGAATCCCTATTTATTATGTTATTATTATATATTTAAATGTTTACACAACACACAACACATACAGTCATTATATGCATATATATACATACAATATTATAATATATTTAAAAAATCCTTTGGCATACTTTTAATATAATTAGTAGTACAATTTTATATTTTTACCATATATTTTATTTTTGGAGATTAAAATACTAAAGGCAACACTGCCTGGATTATTCAGAAAAATAATACAATTTAGGAGATATCACAGTATTATTTCATTTAAAAACTTTAATAATCTAACGATTTTATTTGACAGCCTCTTATGCAATGTTTACTGTGAATGTGCGGTTCAAGTTTCACTGGTATACTGAATGCAAGTACCTGATCAGAGGTTGCACTCACATGACCTTGCTGATGCCACCGACTGAAACAGTTCCCTACAGTACCCACAATATTGCTGATGTAACTGTAAATCAAGAGGCTCTCAAACGGGAAAATATAATCTTAATTAATACCAAGACTCTCGTACAACAAGATTATTAATTTCTAATGTCGAACGATATATCCTAAAAAGCTTTCAATCTCTTACAATTTAATATTGTATATTTCTCTCATGCTTGTTTACATTAGAAACAAAATTTTTAGACATTATTATAGAAGAAAACATGAAAAGAGAGAGAGAAATTCATCATAAATTATTTTTTCGATATTAATATTTTTGAACAAGTATGGGATTTATATGACACATTTATATTTAATAAAATTTTGTACAAGCTATTCAGTACACAATCTTAAATTTCGTCTACAATAAATAATTTGTCCAATCTGAAATTGGGTTTATTTTATATAAAAATAAAAATTAAACATATACTCTCTCTCTCTCTTATTTACATATACATGCTAAAAATAAAAGATATAAATTATATATAATATTTATGCATTAGAAGCAATCATATAGAAAGCGTTTGTATTGAGAAGCACTGTTGCTGCTACCATAGTTACTTGTGATTTCCATATCTGGAATTCAAGGAAGATAAGAAATATTCTTTGCTTTTCAACATCAGAGATTCTTTGCTTTTCAACATCAGGTTATTGAACTCTGTATGAAAAGTATGCAAGATGTAAAAAAATATATAGTTTTTTTTTATATATGCCTTATATATTCAAAAAAATATTATTTGTTTATAAAATAACTAACATACAGCTAAAGAATTTCGACATTATATTTCTTAGATTTTTATAATTAATTTTGACATTTTTTCACTATTATGTTCACGAATTAACGATATATTTTCATGAATCTTTTGTTTTAATAAAAAAGAAAAACTAAGAGAATAAAGATGTAAAGAAAAGAAATAAATGAAATTTAGAATTTTGTTATTTAAAATAAAAGTAAAATTATTTTTTCGACAAATATAATTTATATAATATTAATATTCTTTCCTTATTTTTTTTACAAGAATCTACGAATATTTGACTAAATGCTTTTTATTGATCAATATAGAGGAATACTTTGTGCAATTATTATTATATCCAAACTTTAAAAGCATTATAACTCAATTCATTATGTAATTGAGTAACATAACAGAAGATATACTTCAACAAGCGTATCTAACAATCTAAGATTTTATATACATATAATAATTTCGTTTTTGCCTGTGTTTTAGGAGACTATCATGTATATATTATTCTTATACACATTTATAAAATATTCTTATTGCGACTTTTCCGAACAATAACAAATATCTAACGCGTGCAATATATTACTGTATTCTTAGTTTAGAGATGTGGGAAAAAATTGCTGGGAGGAATTAGAGCCTTACAACATAGGCGCATATATCACATTCACACATACATACATATATACGTATATAATTTCCTATGATATAATATATAGCTATTTTCTCACATGCAATCTTCTAGTTTACACTGCGTTCGTTTTCGACAATGTGATAGCCGGACTGTTGACTATCAGCCCGCGCGTAGTAACTTGATAACTCACGCCATCGTGTAATTTACTGATAGGCGTTAGCACATAGGTCTCGTTCTGTCCTAAATCATGAGTTATCACCAACGGCAATATCGTGCCACCTTCCGTTTGTAGCTCCGACTTTCGTTGACCCGTGTCATCTTTCGCATCGGATTCCGTCTGACAGTGACTCTGCGTAGTCTGATTTCTCACAATAAACTCCAGCTTGGCGAACTTCACCTGCGGAAACTGCACCTTCATAAATCGCCGAAACGTTGAGTAGCCCATGCTCTTAACGTCGGGTGATACTTTTTTGCAATATTGCGTGTACAAATCGTGCACTGTTTTTCGCGTGATGTCGGGCGACAGATGCAGCGGAGCATTTTTAGCGAGCTTGGTTTTTTGCTTGGCCTCCTGCACCTCAACAAAGTTCTTTAAAAATTCCGTCGCGATCTTATATATGTCCAGCGAGAATGTGTTGTGTGGGATCTTCCCGTGATTGCCGTGTACGCGCGGCGTTACGCCATGCGTCATTAGATGCTTTCGGATCCGCTTGATCTGATAATGCGTGCAATTCTCCAGATACAAGAACGCATCCAAGCATACTCTTCGACCCTGATAAACGTACTGCGCGCGTAATCTACGTCGTTCTGTATGCCGGGCAGTTTGATAAGGATCCGTCAGGCATGCCATAGTCACGCCCATTAAATACATGTCGTGCTCAGCCTTAGTCAACTCTGCGATGTTCAGTCTGTGCCGATAAACCACCTCGGGATTTAGATCCTTGAAGCACTGATCGTCGATACACTCACAGCCTCTTTTGAAGCGTTCCAATACCTGTGCTGGGCTATCCTCCAGTTTCGTGGCATCGTAACTTGGCTGACCCATACTTCGAGCTTTTCTCGACTTGATTCTCGCGACGGATCTTTTTGGTTTGACGTTGGACACATTCTTGTGTTCTTCATGTTTCTGTAATAAAAATAAAAAATAATATTCAATGAAAAATTATTAAAATTATAGTAGAAAATTATTTAATGCAATCTAAAATATACATCTGTATTTTTAAGATAAATTATATTAAATATTAATGCATGTATAATACACATCTCAGACAATTTTTATTTTAAAAAAATAATAATAATATATGTAAAAATGTGAGAATGCACAACATATAACATATATAATATAGAATTTTTAAAAATACATGATGTAGAATTTTACCTTGTTCTCTACATTTGTTGTATCTGACTCCTTTGTTCCTCTATTTTTATCGGCAATAACAGTTTGTGTATTAGATAATGCTAATTCTTTCATTTCACATTTTTCTTCTACTATTGGCTCCATGTTATGTCTCAATTTGTACAACGCACAGCTGTCTTGTCATTCTGTCATAACACAAGATATAGATCTTATAATATCTCAAAATATAATTATTTTCCAATAATTATTCAACACAATTGCAATTTAGTAGCAATAAAGTCTAGGGATTAAGTAAATTCAAAAGATGCGAATGCAAAATTTCAATCTGTTTTTTAGCAAGATGCCGTTATCATTTCACATGCTTTTTTAAAGGTGAGCTCTCTTTTAAATGCACCGCGTTTTAATCGCACTTTCTGCACTTTACTCTGTCTCTTTTCTCTATCTCTATTCTCTATCCAAGAACCAAGAATATACATCCATTTCATTTCGAATGAAGAAAACGTAAGTAAACGCAGCTGCATTGACAAGAAACATGTGTCTACTTTTTTATTTTTACGTCCCGTTCTTTCGCGTCTAGGACGAGGAGTTTAACATTCAGGATCCAAAGCAGGAAAAGAGGAGGAAAGAGAAACATCGTACAGAAAGTGCAGCCGAGAGAAATGGAAACCTAAGGTCGAGAATCGCTGATCGGGCCCCTCGGTCACCAACTTTCGTCTTTAAGACCCGCTACATCAACGAGCCTACTCACCGTTGTTTGATCGACTCTCGCGGGCTCCCCAGCTTGGGCGAGTCGTCTCGCGGTTCGACGGACGTCACATTGACGGGACGGCACCCTCGTGAGCCAGATCTTGCCGTTGGTCGCGATAAATCGCGTTGTATTCACCAGCCAACACTCCCGACGATATGACGAACGACTAGTTCGTATTATCGTATGTAGAGGGGACGGCAACTCTCCCAGGGTCGTAGCGCAAAAGGGCGCCCCCCAGTTCTTGTCGCACCACAAAAAAAAAACATGTTCGGGACACAATTTTCTTCAGATTCGTTTCGACAAATTTGTCTAATTATGTCCACTTGCATTCAGAAATTTTGTATGAATCGTGATCAAATCTTCCGTCTTTATCGTGCAAAGAGGATATGCGCCTGAGATTTTTATTCATTCTACATCAAAATAGAAAATTTAATAAATACAATTAATGATTCAATCATATATTAATTAAATTTTTTTATTTATTTTGTTATTAATTTTTTTATTAATAATTCTATGTATCTATAAGATGTAACAATAATAAAATTTAATATAAATGGATAAAATTCATTCACATTTTATTTACTCAATAAACACGAGGGGGGAGAAAAATTATCCAGTTATTAATTATAATTAAATTTTTAGAGAGATATACATGAGAAAACTAATAAAAAATATATTAATATTGTATAAATATATAACATCAATATTTGTGTGTGTTCAACGAGAATCATTAATGCAAAATATTGTACACAGCGATTTACTCGCTAGTGTTAAGTCAAAAAAAAAAAAAAAAATTCAACAACTTCGGTGTATTGAAAAAAAAAGAACTTCCCGATTCTCCCTCTCCGCTTGCACATGGAGCGGAGACGGAAACAGGTACGCGGATTATTGATTGATGGTAGGGCGCGGATACAGTCCTGGGGTGCTCTCCCCCGACGACACGAACAAGGAGCTAGCGAGGGGAGAGCATCTAATACACACAAAGCACAAAATGCACACACGCGTGCCGCGGCCGTGACGAACACGCTCCAAATAACAGCACATCGCACACCACACGCGAGAAGCGCCGATGGTGGACATGTTTTAGGATGTATGTGTCATATGTCAAAACATTGACAAAAGCATGAAAAATTCGCGTAGACTGTTCTACTATTTCTTCTGAGTATCTGTGCAAAACATGAGTACAATTCTCTTAACGGTTTGGAAATTATTTAAGTTTAAAGTTTATACTGAGTCTTATGAAAAATCGCGTGTTGTAGCACTTATTGACAAATTTGACAAGGAAAAAACATTGTCAATGAAATAAAAATTTTCACATATATTAAGAAAACTCTAATAAATATTTGCGCAAAATTGCTTGATTTGGATCCATTTACTTGTTTAAAAGTTATTTATTAAAAATTGTAGAAAAATACTTATTGTAACTCGAAATATTTCTGTAAATTATTCGTTTTTTTGTTTCTTGCTTTCAGGTGTTCACATTCAAAAGTTTTATCATAAATTAAGAAAAATATTAATTACAACTGTTTTCTTTTACGAAAACGTTAAAAATCATATTATATTTTGTGATACTTTAATTTTTTTTATAATCCGTATCTATTTATTTGATTTTTCAAACAATATAAATGTAAGAAATATGTTTTTTTTTTAATTTCGAAAGCCTTTTGCTACTATTATACAGCCAAAACATCCTAAAGTCAACCAGAGAGATTAAAATATACATCTGATTTTTAAATTTCACGATCTACAGAATTTCTTATCTAATGTTTTGCGCATGTCAGATTGGGGGGAGAAATTTTGCGTCGAAATGTAAACACAATTAAGGTTAAGGAAAGCAAATCTTGAGGCCGTTTTATAGAACGGCTTTATCGTAAATCTCTTTATTATTCGTTAAGGTCGTAAAAATTCTAGCAGGAACGAGCCGCGTGGCTCCGTAATACCGTAACTTATCGCAAACGTCGCATAAAACGCGTAATATTCCCTGTTGACTCGCGATTGTTTCTTACGTCACGAAACACAATTCGTTTTAAATTTGAACAGCAAATGTGTAGATGCTTTTTACTTTCAAATACGTACTTATACTTTTTAAAGAGAATAGATGAAACTATTTTTCTAAGACGACATCATTCTGACAACGCACTGCTTGCGTTTAATATCAAAAATATTTGTATTCGTTGAACACTTATAATTTTTGCGATATAGGGCCAGTTTCACCAAGTCTGGTTAGATGAACCGACGGTTAAAATTAGCAGGGTTGTGAATTGAAATGACATGAATGCTTGGTTTTCCTTAACCTTTATTTTCTGTTGGCCATCCTGCTAATTTTAACCATCGGTTCATCTAACCGGACTTGGGCCGGTATTCATAGTCGGTTCTTATATTTAAGACCGTCTTAAATACAATCTTAAGATGTCATAAACCAATCACAGAGCATATTAGCATCTTAAGACATTACTTAAGACGGTCTTGAAATAAGAACCGATGAATACCGGGCTTGGTGAAATTGGCTCATAATCATAAAACACATTTCTCTCTCCACACATTCTATTAACAACCATGAAAAATAATACAAGTTGCGAAGAAAATAATTAATGAATGATATCACTGTGCTAAAGACAATTTCGATAATAAGTTTAAAAATCTAAATTATATTTATTGTTGCGATAACGCGTATTAAAATTTCTACGCTAAAAGACCGACAGCAATGTGAAAATTGTATATATGATCAATGGGATTCAAACCTGTGCATTTGGTAGAGCAGTGTTGATGGCAGGGACAATTGCAGCTATGCAGCGACTTTCGGCGGAGAATCATCTTGGTTTGCCTGTCGCTTCGGTTGGTCCGATATATTTATCGTATTGTCACGGAACGTTGCAACTTGTTACAATAGAACGCTGTACAATCAACACACTGCCACGACAAAGAGACTCATCGATCAGGCTACAGCTCACTCCACAAGCCGACTTAAATCATTGTCCATTTCGTCGATTTCAACTTTCCTCCTTGTGTCTTTAACACGTCACACGTTACAGTATTGTAACAAATGTAGAGTATTTCGTACGATTTGCTTTATTTGGTTTATTGTTCATTGTATTTTCAAGGAATTATCCGATACACACGATATCCAATTTTCCTTCATTGCAAATTGGACGATTAAATATTTCCCGCCGCGGTTTTCAAATATTTTGACAAGAACCATGAATTAATAATAATTTTTCAATCTTATCTTAATTTAAATTTTATACAATTATGATATAGAAATAATATTATATTATACAGAGTGTCCCAGAATTAGACCGACAAACTTCAGATGGTTATAAAGGACACTAAAACAAGCCAATTTTGCCAATAAATCCGTGTTTGCAAATGAGCCATTTTGGCACTAAAGAATCAAAGACTAACAAGGGAACCTCGCGAACCCAAAAATTTTGATTTTGATGAAACTTTACACACATATAGGGGAGGTAAATAGATGAATTTAGAAATTTCCAGTTGTGGCTCAAAAACAATTCTAAGCGGTGAAATAACCCCTCATATGTAAAGCGGTTTTTGCTTTTTTCGATGTATCTCGAAAATTATTCGAGATATCAAAAAATGTTTTATACGAAAGTTTCATGATAAAAACACCTCTATTTAACCACTTTAATAAAATTTAAAAAAAAATTGTTTTCAAAGATTTTTGTTAGTCTTTGATTCTCTAGTGCCAAAACGGCTCATTTGCGAACACGAGTTTATTGACAAAATTGACTTGTTTTGGTGTCCTTTATAACCACCTGAAGTTTGTCAGTCTAATTCTGGGACACCCTATATATAAAAAAAAGATATAGAAATAATATGAAAAGAATTTTAATATAAAAAAATTTTATAATTAAAATTTACATTTTATTTTAATTTATTAGAAAAACTTTTGCATTTCAAGTTTTTGAAAAGTTATTGTTTGTACTATTTTGTATATACATACATCATTGCGTCAACATTATGCAATAAAAATTGGTATACGATACTGCAAGACGATCGATGCGGCGAACAAAATTCGCTTGTGGCAAAAGTTCGTTCGTGGAATTATTGCCCCATCGTAATTAAACGTTGCGCGATAATATCGGTTATTCCGACCGATCCTATGTAAGTGGATCGAGAACTTCTCTAGAGACGGAATGCAAAAATTCTTCTTCGAAACTCTCTCGGATTAAATGCATTCTTTGTTTTAGACATAAAGTCTTGATTTTCCCGACCCACCTTGTATACCGGGTAGCACAACAGCTAATGATTATAGCTGCTTGCTATATAGTCAATTTGCATTGCGACACACGCTTTTTATCTTCCACTTAAACGTGTCATCATGACAATTCATGTCAGCAACGTCCTCGAAATGTTTTACTCAAACAACTATAGAATGTGCGCGCGATTAGTATCTAATATTTTATATTCTAAAACAATAAAATATTCTAAACTATTATATTATAAAATAAGATTTTTTTCAATAAATAGATACTTTTGGAATAAATACTATCTCACGGAATAAAGATATTTGCGTGTGATTACTTAATAGAATAATCCTTTTAAAATGTAAAAGATTTAAATTTTATACTGCTCTCTTTTAATAATAATACAGATAAAAAGCTTCTTTAAAATGTTGACTCAATAGCTATATATATAATAACTATGCGATATATTATAACTTGTATTTATGAAGTCGCTATTTTCAAATGTCTAATTATATAGAGTGTTCCCGGGTTAAATGGCTAAACTTGCAATATGGATTTAGAATCTTAAAACAAAAAAAAAAAAAAAATTTCCTGTGGAAGTATGCTTCCACACAAACGCTTCATTTAAAAGATATTATTTTCTTAAATTACAGAACTATAGGAATGAACAATGTTGAAATGTCTCTTTTTTTGTTTTGAAGATCGAAAGTCATTGACAGGCTTGTGTTTGCACTATAAACAAAGCTCCGGAGGATAAAAAAACGGACAATGTCAAAAAGAAAAAAGAAAAAAGACGCACAATGTCAATTAGCCACTCGTTTTCTCATCGATAGATGCATTGTTTGTCTCTGGACTAGAGGCTATCATTTTGAATAAAACATTTAATAATTAAATTTTGATTACTGTAAAGCAATAAAGAGGACCTAACCTAGATTATTTCGAAACTATTCATTCCTAATAGTTCTTTAGAAATCAATATCTCTTGAACGAAGCATTTGCAAGCCTACTTCCAGAGGAAAATTTTTTTTTTGTTTTGAGGTCCTAAATTCATACTTCAAATTTGACCATTTAACTCAGGAACACCCTATACATATTATATCATATCTTATTATATGCTATTATTCGATGATATTAATATGGGCGTAGCGTATTCGAAATTTCTGGCGCCGATGAGACAATAGGGCAGTCTCTATCGCCGTTCTCTATTTACAGTCAATTACGTCTTTATCTCTCGACAACACAAGACGACGGATAGTATCACGTTTCACGTCGCTTCACGCTTGGGGATGTATCAGTCACGTTGCACACGATTGCACGCGCTATATGCGCCGCAGGAGAGCTTCATCAAAGTTGCACGAGGGTTCTTTTGATCGATACCAATGTATTCGCGTCTAGCAACCCTTTTGCGAAGGGACGCCTACGCATTAACCCTTAGTTGTTCGGAAAACAAATAGCTTTTAATTAGCAATCAATATTAAATTAATGTCAAGTCAATTTTATAAATATTACTCGAGTAAGAATCAAGAGATCGATATTGTACTATTTGAAAATTACTATCTAATATCTCTAATTGTATAATTTTTGATCAGTGGTTTATTATAAAAGGACGATCGGTAAGAGTCTTAAAATGTAGAATATTATAAACACATATCGCGTTTGCTACGATATTTCCGGCCATCCCGTTATCACACCCGTGAGATTTCGTCGATTAACTTTTATCGCGCTTGAGAGATTTGACCGTCGATTTACTTCACGAGAATTATTACTTTGCTGAATAATTCGCCACGGCCTGCAGTAATCACGCAAATTTAGCGCAACCGTCCATTCATTTGCACGATATACCACTCACGTCATGCGGGATATTTCGCTCTTATATATATATATATATATATATATACTTGGTTAGCTTCCCATGTCCTATATATATATCTGCGTATATATACTTGATAAGCCATCGTGTTATCAGCCGCACAAAACGATGTTTGGTGGTCAATACCTTGAGACGAGTTTACCGACAATACTACAATTCGTTTCATAGTTGATGAACATTGATAAAGTTGTCATATAGATATGCATCATGCCAATTTTAAAAATTTTGATAAAAAATACATATAATGAATAAAAAATTATCGCCTTGATTTAGAAATTTTACATAGCCAAAAAAAATTTTTTTTGTAAAAGTTGAAGTAGGATTAATTACTATTAAATCTTAATTTTTTTAATTATAATTATAATATCTTTTAAATCAGATATTAACTAAAAAATATAATACTTCTAATCGTTTGATACCGGCTATATCATATTATACAACATAAAAATCAAAATCTAGTGTCGTTATACATATAACTATATTTCTATACATATATTTTTTAAATAAATTTATTAATAAATTTTATTATATTTATATATGTAATATAAAATAAAAAAACTTGGAAATTTTAGTGGTAATTTTTTTTTAAACTAGCATCGCAGAATGTTAACATCTACGGAAACTGTTATGATTCTATATACCTGATGGTATTTTTCTTGGATGATTATTATGTAGAAAAAATTTACAAATAATATGGCAAATGTATAACGTGAGAATCATTCTTTCGTGCATATGATTTCCATTAATTAGATGTTCCAGTTAGTTTTGCGGGCTCACTATAGATGGCTGTAACTACAAATCTACTACAGATTTTGAAAATTGGTATATCATTTCAAAGCTTGGACATTTCTATAAATAATTTGACACATGTTATGTGCATTCGTAAACATAACTACACTTTTTAGTACGACTGAAAATGGAACGTGATAAAGAGCATTTTCGTCATTTGTTACTTTACTACTTTGATTCGAAGAAAACGGCTGTCGAAGCTCACCGATCCATTTCAGAAATTTATTCTGAGTCTGCTCCATCAGTTAAAACATGTGAGTACTGGTTTCGACGATTCAAAAGTGGTGATTTTGAGTTGAAAGACAAAGAATGTTCAGGTCAACCAAAAAAGTTCGAAGATGTCGAATTGCAGGCATTGTTGGATGACTTCAAGAATTAGCTGAAGTATTAAATGTTGGTAAATCAACCGTTTCTGATCGTTTACACGCAATGGGAAAGATTCAAAAAGAAAACAAATGGGTTCCACATGAATTGTCTGAATTAGCTATTCAAAATCGTTTAACAATTTGCACTTCATTGCTTTCTCGTCACAAAAAAAGCAGTTTTTGTATCAAATTGTAACTGGCGATGAAAAATGGATCTACTACGATAATCCTAAGCGTAGAAAATCGTGGGTAGGTTCAGGCCAACCATCGACATCAAAACGCAACATCCACGGAAGTAAGGTTTTGTTGTCCATTTGATGGGATATGAAAGGCGTCGTGTGAACTGCTGAAACCGAATCAAACAGTCACTGCTGAGCGTTATCAACAATTAATCGATTTGAATCGTGCTTTGAAGCAGAAACGTTCAATAATTGCTCAAAGAAAACGCAAAGTGATTTTGTTGCATGGCAATGCTCGACCACACGTTGCAAAAGCAGTTAAAGATACGTTATCGGCACTTCGATGAGAAGTCTTACCACACGCCGCGTATTCACCGGATTGTGTTCCTTCAGATTATAACTTATTCCGATCGATGCAGCACGGCCTTGCTGACCAGCACTTCAAAACATGTGAAGAAAAAAGAAAATGGCTCGATGAATGGATTGTTTCGAAGGACGAACATTTCTTTTATCGCGGAATTCACTTATTGCCAAAAAAGTGGGAAAAAGTTATAGCTAGCGATGGAAAATATTTTGAATAAAATATAATTTAACATCTCTCTAAAATAAACGTGTCTTTTTTGCAAAAAATCCCTCAAAACTAACTGAAACACCAATCTTTTCTTGTACTTAATTACGCTTCATAAGTTTACTTCCGCGATACCTTCCCACGAAAATACCGCGTGCTGCCAGATTACTTCACACTCCCGTTAAATCTGACAGTACACACACACGCGTACACACTGCTTCCCGAAAGAAAATAGTTTTACCGCGAGTGCAAACTCGCCGCCGCGAAATACTATAGTAAATCGCAACAATGCCCGCGATTCACTTAACTCGCACTTAATACTCGCGCGTCTATTTTCGTCGACTATAACCTCGGGCTTCTAAGCCCGATAACTCCATCACCCGCAGTATATACACGCATACACGCGCGCGCTAGCTATGAACCGTTTATTCGCGAATGGTACCAGGAATGAAAAAGGATATTTATTCGCGCGCGCTTATCGCAGAAGAATTTTCGACGGCAACATGAGGCTGAAAAGGAGACGCGAACGATGAGACCACGCACACACACTCGTTGACACTTCGCGTGTGATCGATAGAATCGTACACGCCGTAGCGCTGTAGCCGCCGTTACCGGCGACTCCCCGCCCGCGATGCATCCGTGCCACTGCACTTATTTGCGCAGTTGCGAGCGCGAAGAACGGAGTTAGTCGTACTTTGTGTATTCGTTCGAGACGATTTCTGCGAGTCGGGGAAATGCGAAACGAGAAGAACTGTACAACGCGCCGTCGTCGTCGCGGCTCGCCGGCAATGCGTCGCGACGGAGGCTACAGCATGGCGGGCGGCGGCGTTCCAGGAACGAATCGGGTTTTCTTCGGACCCCGGGAAATAATCGGCTCGCAAGGTGAAACGGTGAGAAGAATTCATTCTTGTTTAATTCCTTTGAATCATCATCGATATCATGGTGTCATTGCGTTTCTCGCTGTATCGCATCGTTAAATTGGATATTAATAATTTTATATCGTTTCCAGAATTTTAAATCCGATGGGAACGATTGCATCCATTCTACCTGACGTGCCGAGAGTTTGGTATTGATATTGGTATTCTTTATAGATTCCCGTTCGTCACATGGGACGCAGTATTACGCTTTCTTTTTTATGTAACTCATACGTACCATATCATTTTAATCAATAAATTTTCATTAATCCTTTTAATTTCAACCTCTTAAGGCATATGGGGGATAGAATTCAAGTAGTTTTGAACCTGATGAGATCTGCCGACTATCAGTCAGCGACTCTCTACATAGGACCATACATCGCCTCCCGTGCCGAGAGTTAAAAGCCATTCTAGTTACGATCCTGTGAGGTGGTGGAGGGTAAAGATAAGGGAAAGCTACCAATGGCGAACGAGCCGAATCGACAAAGAGGGGACGAGTGCACGTGACTCGCGGCGTGTCGCGCTGTCAAAATCGGACAATCTTATCCGCACGAATTAATCTTTCCTCATGATTCCGAGTTTCTTTCCTTTGAAATTTGAATATAAATATATAAATAATTTCTTTATATATATTGAAATATTACGCAACAAAAAATTATTACGCGATACAAAAGATTAACTCCAGCATGAGTAGTAGACGGTGAGTAAAGAGGATATAGCTTTGCGTGGTAAGTATAAACTCGTTCATGTCACGAAACATACATTAAACTAGAAACTTAGTTATATATGAGCCTCTCAAACTGATCAACTCTACTTTTTATAAAGTTCTTCATTTGAATACCAAGACAAATGATTAGTGCTTTGTGTGTGTAATATTAAAATTAAGAAATTTACAAAAACTGGAATTGATTAGTTTGACTTTTCAAGAGTTCATATAATACTTTATTAGTATTTTCAAATTAGTATTAGTATTTATATATATCTTAAAAATTTATAGGTTGAATTGAAATATATACATACACAAACAAAATTATTTATAAAATATATCTTGAAAATAGAAAGTAAAGAATAATCGGCACCTAGAAATAAAATTTGTGACATGTACATTAGATACATTAGAACGATTTAAAAAAAGAGCTAAATAAAATAGAATCCGCATGCTAAAGAATAGACAGCTCATTAAATGAGCACAAATCCGAAATCTAAATGAACTTGCATGAAAGAAACTGAATAACGCGTGTTGTTATCAAATAAGACGCTGTCCTGTAAGTATAGTTACAAAGCGAATGCAAAATGTGGAAGCGTTTACTGTGGAAAATATTTCATGGTATGACGTTATTCAATTATTCACTCCATCAGGCGGGAAATTGATTTATCGTCATCATCAAACGGCTGCTGTAATTCGCACGCAAGAGGAAAAATTTACAAACGATACTTTATAATTTCATCAAGACTTGCAACTGATCACTATCATTCGATAACGCGAAAATTATCTTCAATGAGAATTTTATCATTTCGTGAAAGAAAACTTGAGCGAGGTGTCGATGACACATTAAGATGGATCATTGAAGAAAATGTACCCTTGATTTAATCGTGATGATATGCGAATAAAAGAACTAAGTTCGATTGTTTACGAATCAATAATGAGTATGCATGTGAATTCCGCTAATAAATCGTCAATCCATTATATGTCAATCGTATCTTGATTGAAAATAAAGAACAGAAAAAATGTAGGAATAACTCGAACAAGCGGAGAGATTGACGAATAAACAAAAATTAATCATTCACCTCAAATAAAACGAATGACGTGCGTCACTTTCCTCTTACGTCACAATTATTTATATAAAATGTCAGAAAAAATTTGCAAATAAAAATAAATAGCGTATGTATATATAATTCTCTTTCGGTTATGAAATTCAAGCAATAATACAAAAAAATCGATAAACGTCACACATGATTTGAGAAATAAAATACGAAGACTTGGTCGAGCGATCATACTCGCATCCCAGTACGTCTGTTGAGCTTTTAATTAATCGAAAACACATCTCCATTTCAAATCGTATTCAAAGTAAATAAATAATGAAGCATAGATTGCCTCAGTTGGACAGTATTATTCTGTAAAAAATTGCTCTACAAAATAATATTATTATAACTCTGTACAAAATAGTATTACTTTAATTGTACAAAATAATTGTTCTAATTTAAAAGAAAAAAAAATAGATATCAAAAAAATTCTGTCAACTGGTAATAAAAACATATGTTGTAAAATTAATTTCTTTTATTATTATTTAAATACAAACATTTTAATAAAAAACTGTTTTACAAAATAAATATTTAAATTTCCTACGAAAATTGTATACCGCCGGTCTTAAAACAAAATTAAATCGAAAGCCGAATTTATACTCACAACAATGAGAGAAGAGAATGCTTTCTTAACTTACACTCCGCACAGAATACATTTTGCAGGAAATGACGCAAATTCAAACTGCGCATTTAGATGTGCAGATCTCGAAACTCTCCGAATATCTTTCGATGCACCTGGCGATGCATTTCTAATCGAGTGCAACCAAGTAAAGTACACCTCTTAGAACCGGTTGCAGCAACCTCTCGCTCTCGGAGACAAATTAATCCAAATAAATTCTCTTTCTCCGTTTATATACCATAGATAGTTTTCGAAACCTGAGGCGATCGAACAAACTTACCCGCCTCGAGCAACTCCAGGTCCAGATTGCCGCTACGACTGCGGCTGATACTGCTGCTGCAGGCATTGTAGCTGCTAGGGCGATGAGCCGCCGTGGTCTCCTCCATCGCCCGGGAGGCGCTACGCTTGAACTGCTCCAGGAAGCTGTCAATCTGGTTCTCGATGCTGGTGGGCGAGCTGGCCATTTTTTCGGCGCGTGTCAAACAATCGGTCGTGCGATGATAATAACAATAGCGCGATCTCGACGCACGTGCGAGATCGATTTTATCAGACTAATACGTATGCGACACCGGCCCGGACGACGACGCCGACAAGAGAGGCAGGGAGAAAGAGAGAGAGAGAGAAAGAAGAACAGAGATAAGTAGATAGATAAACGGATAGAACCGCGCGGTTACGATGATTACAGGACTACATCGTAGAATCGCGCGTCTCCACGCACTTGCTCGGTCCCGGACACACGTCAATGTTCCCCGGAGGAGGGCGGGTTAACGTGGGGTTAACGGCGCGACCGCTGCCCGGCCCTTGACGCACCTCGTCTTGCCGTACGCCGCATGTCTGTTATCGCCGCAACCCGCAACGTTCCGCTGTCCGCTGTCGTCGCGGTACAGAAACGCGCAGCTCGGAAAACACCAAAACTGAAATGACATATACCGCGCGCGCGCTGCCGCAGTGTTTTCGCGGCAGGTGTCGCATAAGCTGCTCGACCGGCGCGATTTCATCTAACTTCACATAACTCTCCTCGCCCGTGAACCCCGCGAGCTCGTCTGGTGGCTGGTATGAAAGGTATGATAGAGAGGGGAAAGGGTCAGACCGCAGGGCGTTGATCAGCCCGGTAATAATCCTTATTGCGTCGGGGATGAGAATATATAGAAAAATTGCACGTTTCTAAAATAGTAGAAAAAAAAATATAAATATATAAAATTCAATATATAAGAACAATATATTCGATTCTTTTAAATTTACATATATTTTATGTTTGTACTTATAGAATAAATATTCTTGCGCTTGATACGTAAAAGAAATCGAAAAAGGAATCTTTATAATAAATATTTACTCTTAATACGTTTTCCAAACTATTGACGCGATATCCCTAACAACACATATATGTCCAATGTCCAGAGGACGTCCAGAGGATGTTTTATATTCTACATCCGAGAATGTAAAATATCTTCTGGATGACATATATGTGTGTTGTTATGGATATCGTATATTTTCGCGAAATAAAACAGTTGCGAGATATTTTTCTCGGCACTCATCTCGATATTAAAGGTAATTTTACAGGCTTACAGCAATTTTTATTTGCTGTAATTTTATTAATACATTTAACAATACTTGAAGTTATGGTGCAATGTTTATTTAATGAAAATGGCGCGTACGTTCACATTACGACATCATCGACGCGATATATTATATTTTTGCATATTTATTATGATGATATTTCGATATTTCTTTCAGTATACTCTGAATTTTATACCAGCAAACACAAAATAATAGTAACATATAATATCAATGTTATAATTTCCCACTCAACAATGTAACTGCGATATAACATGCCTTGTACATAACAGTTATATATTGTTGAGTGGGAAATTATAACATTGACGTTATGTTTTACTATTACTTTGTGTTTACTAGGTGGGTATTATACGCTTATTTGCAGACATATTTATTTTCACATACCTTAATCGTCTCATTAAATAATATCGCTTATGATTAAATTTGTTTTATGTCCGTTTTAACGCCGCTAAACTTCTCAGATTTCAACTTCGCACTCGAGATTCCAAGATTTTGAGTTTATGTTTTGTATTAGTGCTGTTATCTTTTGGTATTGAACTGTATTTCGCATTAAACTCTGTTGGTAATGAAATTTTTCTTCTTTTACAAATATATATCTGACAATGATGAGAGATGAGACGCGGGGTATTATTTTCTCACTGACCTATTTTTCTTTCCTTCAATTTTTCATTTCAAAATTCCGGTAAAAGGAATTGCCATAGTTGATAATATCTTGTAATTTATTATACTATTTTAGTTCATCCATTAGTTATATTTTGTTTTATTATCGAAAAATATATAGATTTTTTTATATATGTAACCACGCCTCAAGAATAACAAAATAAACATTTTATTGTACCAAATTATTGTTTTATTACTGACACCAACGATCGAGATGTAGTTATATTTTGTTTTATTATCGAAAAATATATAGATTTTTTTATATATGTAACCACGCCTCAAGAATAACA